AGCCTGCCTCTCTAATGGGCTGATTTAAGTGTCTGCGCTGACTCATATTCCCTCCCAGTGATCCCACAGGCTTATGTTTCTCATATCTGTGTGCTAAAACGTCTCGTGTTACACGTGTGGTCACCGTTCATGTCCACACCTGTCATAAAGGGAAACTTCGCTCTGATTGAGCTGTTTTGTTTTTCCTTTCGTAATGAGGTTACGGTGCTTCTTTGTGTCGCATACAACAATGCCGCTTCTTGCTCCGGGCATAGGAGAGGATTTACCAGAATTTAAATCAGGACGTGTTCCTGAAATAACTTTGCAGAGCGAATCCCTTCATCGGAAACGACGCACACACACACATAATGTAGAGCAGTAGAGAGAGAGAGAGAGAGAGAGAGAGAGAGAGAGAGAGAGAGAGAGGCCAAACTGAGTTCAGCTCAGCGTTCCCCTCCCAGCATCCAGTTGTCATTGTCTGAAGTGAAAATGCACACCTGTGACATTTGTCCTACAGCTGCAGCTGTGTCAAGTTTCCCTCCTCACACACACACACACACACACACACACACACACACACATCCTGGCCTTTCATATAAAGGCGGTCTTTTTGTTAAACTAAGACACACTTTCATAGAGCTGTCAGTGATTGTTTCAGGAATGTGCTCACGAGACGCTGCGAGATTAATGTGAGAAAGCTGTGGATGATGCAGGGCTGTCGTCACATCTGTGGAAAAGGTCAATGATTACGCACACAGTTTGCCTTAAGGAGGATGTTAACCGGCTTTTGTTACTTCGTTATCTGTATTATTCAACTTTATTTTTTAAAGCTTAGTCTTGCATTAATTTATTAAGCTAAAAAGATAAAAGGGGTAGGACTGGATAAGTTATTTAACTTCGACCTACACCCTTTTTCGAACATGGACTGGTTAAGGAAAAATAATCGAGCCACTACAGAAAGTTTGCTTTGATTGCTGTTTGTTTTGTTTGTAATGTTCATTTTTTTTTTTTTAAAACATGTTCGAAATTTAAAAAAATGAACTATGGGTTAAAAAAAAAAAAAAAAAACCTGCCTACTTTTAGTGTACCTGGTGTTTCCCTCTCCACAGGGCAGAAAGTCTGTTTAATAAGAGGATAACAGTCCTTTTTATTCAACACTTCTGTCTTAGGGTTTGCAATGTGGCCTGGGAGTAAAATCTATTTTTTGTACATCACACCTGATTTACCTTTTTCATCCGATTCAGTGCAGCTTTCATGCAAGTGTTTGAGGCTGCCTTTGAATTTACTTGCAAAACACTTCTCTCACTCGGCGTTGTGTGTCTGTTTGGCTTGCTGGAGTAATTTGGGGCGCATTGCTTCGTCTTAGACAAACTTTTTTACGCTGGTTTCCTCAAGGTCTGAACGCTGTTTTAAGTGATTTCAAGAAGCCTATTGGGCAGATAAACCCCTCGTTTTATTGCTTTTAGCACATATTCCCCATTGAAGCAGCAAACTCTTGTGTTAAAAAATGAAGCCTGTGCAGAATGCAAAAATAAAACTGCAGTTCCTCAAGTGTCCACATGAGGCGGGCTCCAAAAGCCAATGCAACACTCACTAGGTCCTGTTATCCTAATTTTTACAGAATAAATGTCCCTAAATGTCTTGGTCCTGACTCGGTCTCGATCCCTAAATGTCTTGGTCTTGTCTCAATCTCGCCCTGCCTTGGTCTCGGTCTTGACTCGGCCTCAGAGCACACTGGTCTCGGGTATGTCTCGGCCTCGGTTAGTGTGGTCTTGACTACAACACTAGGACATGTACATTAAACAGTCAGTATTAAACTTATATTTATTTACAAGCCTGCTTAGCAAAAGTGCAGTGACGAGGAGTGAGAAGGATCCACACATTTCATTTACTCCCTCTTCCAGTGAGTTCATGTCGGTGTTTTTTTCTGGAGATCTCGAGAATGCCGAGTAAAATAAAACGTCTGGATGAATGTCCACTTGGGGCTGCTGTGGTTTTTAGCTAATTGAAGCTTTTCATAAAATGGTGTTGCACTGACTAAGAAAATTAATTGGAAAAGAATCAATAGAGCCGTATAATCGTTCATTCTAATCCAGGAGAAGTGCATGATTCTTCTTTTATGCCACTCTGTAAACAAGAGAAGAGCACTTAGTTCAGTCATGCTGAAGGTCATCAGCATCTTTTACAGACCATCAGCCGTCAGGTCAGGTTTACATGCTCATTTACATGAAACAAATCACAGCAGGTGAACAACAACGCCGTCCCCGCCCTGCTCCGGCCAGCGCTCCATAAATATATGTTCCATCGTCTCGGTGAGCTCCGTGGACATCAGGGTTCAAGTGATTTATTTATTTTTTTAAAGCAGCGCCGTTTAAAGTGCTCGTACCACAGCTGAGACCTGAGCTGAGAGGAGAGTAAACACGAGCTGAAGAACATCATCACCAGCAGCAGCCCTCCATGGAAACCTGTTAATGATCTCATGGTAGGATTTGATCCACATGCGCAGGCTGGAAGACTAATTAAACAAACAAACGGCAATTAGATGGAGCTCCCTAATCCACATAGCAACAGAGTCAGTGGAGGAGAGAAAGGCAAACACAACAGACACACACACACACACACACACACACACACAGCTGGCTGAGTTTGAACAGGAAATCTTCTCATTAAATATTTCACTCTGTAGAAAATGTTTCAACTTGAGGTCTAATTCGACTGAGTGCATTGTTGATGTAAAGGAGCTCTAATTTAAAGGCAGAATGTGCAAAATGTTACACGTAAATATAGCAGAAAGTATATCCTCTAAATGTCTCTCTGAGTCACGACTGTCTACAAAGAGTGTGACGCCCTGTCCTGCTGTCTGTGATGTTGTCTTGCTATATTTATATCATGTTTACACGGACGGGATGCTCCTAACTTTGGACTACAGGAAAGAAGAAGAACATACTCGCTGCTGATTTGAATGTCGCATAAGTGTTTTTAGATCATAGTCATTCCTTGTTAATGTACATGCAATGTGAAGCTACGTGCTAACTAAAGAACGCTAACATTAGCCTGCTAACACAACAACGCAGCTTGAGCAAACGTGAGCGGAGAGGGGTTGGAGGTGTGTCGCTGTAGGAGAGCGGAGGATTCAGAATAGTGGAGGTGTGGCCAAACAGCAGTTTGTTTTGGTTTCATGCTGGTGCTCAAGGGCGACACCTGCTGGATCAAAAAGTTGCACATTCTTCCTTTAAAGGCTTTGTATATTTTTTTTGAAAATATAAAACAACTTGTGCTGCATTGTTGTGTTAGCATGCTAATGCTAGCGATCTTTATTTTGCTCGTATCTCCACACTGCATGTAAATTTACCTGAAATGAGCGTGATCTAGAAACACAGTTAAGCAGTGAGTACAGTATGTTATTCTTCTTTTCTCTAGTCCCTCAATTAAACAACTTTTATACACGAGGGGAGGAGTCAGCCGGCCGTCCTGGCGATGTAAACAAGCTGAAGATAGGACTCTGAAAACATCACAGACAGTGGGACTCGGGTGTTACACCCATTGTAGACAGTCATGACTCACAGAGTTATTTTCAGAGGAGATACTTGATTTATATATTTAAGTGTGAAAAATCACATATAAAGACTTTAAGGAAGTGGGAACGGCAAATGTTTGACATTTTTACTTGACCAATATCCAAAACAGTTCCATGATTATGTGAATATTTGGTGATTCCTTTTTTATTTCTATAGATGAATTAATGAATGCAGAAACACTTTGCTACTTCAACTGATTTATGAGAGACTGCTGGACTTTGATTTTATTTCTTTAAGTTCAGTCTGTTGTTTGGACCTCGTACCAGAACTGAAGGTGTCATTATGAACCAGTGAAAACCCGGGGGCTCCCACCGTGCGTCGTCTCACTAATGAGCGTACATCCTGGTTATCTGGATGCCAATCAGCGGATCACACCGCCACGTCTGCAGCCTGAATACAGAGCGTGCTCCTGTGTTTTGTAAAGACACTCGGGGAAATGCCAGGCGTCCAGAACTCACTGACATTTCCTTAAGTACAGCTCGTACCTACAGGGGCTTAAAGTTTGACCTTCAATGCAGAAATCTCTTTCCTAGCAGCGCCGCCTACATCTGCGTGTCTTGTGACCTCGGGGAAGGAGCACGCTGTTTCCTTTTTGGCACGGAGCATGCATACTGAACATAAGAAGGGAAACAATGGTGGGACTTTTTCTTTATTGAACGTTGTTTAAAGAATGTGAGTGAGAGAGTTTGGGAACACACAGGCCCGGGGTCAGCGGGCAGTGTTTTTTGCGAGCTCGTTTTTTTGATTCGTCTCTCATTCTTCCTCCCCTCCTCCTTTATGTTTCTTGAAGCTTCACGGCTTTAGCTGCTCAGCTACCCTGTCAGGGCTGAAGTGGTCAGCTTTGTTGGAGGGTATTTCTGCTCCTGTAGAAGTCTGCTACAGGGATGTCCGAACGTTTAACACTTCTGATACCGAGTTTTTTAAATCGATAAAATCTCCATTATTAAAGAGAGATGGTGCCGGAAAGTGAGGAAGCTTTAAAAAAAACTACAGATCTTCATATCTTTTTGCCATGAGAGGATGAGATGGAACGCTGTCTTAACTGCATAAAACTGTTGTCAAGGGTTTTTTTTTCATTTAGACAGACTGCAGGAGTTTTTCTGCATTTGTTGGTCATTGATCAGAATCAGATTTATTGGCCAGGTATGCTTACACACACAAGGAATTTAACTTCTGTGAACTGTGCTCTCTGATGTACAGCTACAACATTAAATATCAACAATAAACATGATAAGAAAAAGACTAATATTTACATAAATATGAAATAGTGCAAAAGATGCTGAAGTAACATAATAAGAAAAATGCAGTTATGTGACAGATGGGTCAATTAAGATGTCAATTACAGTATTTACATAAATAAGTGTGCATATATTGATCATTTAAGTTAAATAATATATTTATATATATATATATATATATATATATATATATTCACAGTGATGATTGGTTTAGAGAACAACAAGAAATGAGTGACTGAGTATTGTGTGCTTGGGAGTCCTATTATAGCTGCTGTGGTATCAAAATAGGTATCAATATTGTTTGATTTAGTAGTTCTGGATCCTAATATGTATCGTTCTGCTGCATCGTCTTGTTGTCATAATGGAACAAAAATCCTCCTGGTTGTTAAGACGTGACTGAAACTTCTTAACAGAGCCCCTTCTCTGTTCTCTTCGTTGATCCAAAAGGACAAAATATTTGATTTAATAATGCAGATATTCAGTCGTATGAGAAAAGAAATAAACAGAGTGCACAAGTATGTTGGCAGGTGAAACGTACATGTGCTATTTAAACTGTGCAGGAGTTTGCCTGCAAGATTTGTGAATTAAAAACAAGAATTATCTAAAATATCGGCTGCCTAGGACTTCTATTTGTGTTACTGTGGTATTGAATAAGGTATCAAAGTTTTTCCTCGACTTGTATCATGACAGCCGTAGTCTGCTGCACAGCAGAGGTCTAGAAGTGTGAATCTGCAGAGGAACAACTGTGACGAAACTTCCAGCCTGAATCAGCGTCTTTAAGTTTACTTCTTCTTTTTTCTCTGCGTCGACTTCCTCCTTCTTCTTTCTTATCTTTCCATTTCGTCGTTTTTCTGGGACAGTCTTCTTTCCGTCCTCTTCCCCGCTGAGGATTTACCAGCTGTATAGTGTTTTTAGAGGTTGGCACGATTCATGACCTAGTTAAATCTGGACTGGGAACAGGAAGCAGAAGAGGGATGAATGGCTAACAGCAGAGCTCTGCTTACTTTCTTTCTTTCTTTTTTTTGATCTGGACTCTTGCTTGTGCTCTCAGGCTTCTTTCTCTCCTGCTTTCCATATTGATCAGTTCTCCTTTCAATCCCCCCTGCCTCCTTTTTTCCCCTCCTCATCCCTTGCTGTGTAAGTACCTCCAGCTCTGATAAATGATTTCAGTAGAAGAAGTATGACTGTGCAAGTTGGAGCCCTGAGAGATTTGGAGCAGCTTTTTTGTTTTTCCTGATTTATTTAGGACAGCCAATTAACACAGATGTCGACGATGTCATTAATGGCTGTGCAGAAATAGGGGAAGCGGTTATTAACACTTTCACCCTTCTTTATTATAATTTCTCATTTCTTCTGAAAGCTGAAGGCTTCTCTGGATGTGGAAGTGTTTCTGAAATGCCTCCATTTGTGCCCACTCTATCACTTCTCCGTATCTGCTCTTTGATATCTCAGTGTTTGGTGTTTTTTTTGGTCTCCAGCCAGTTGATCTGTGCATCACGTTGATCCTGCAGGAAGTAGAAATTCACAGGACATGGTGGTAAATCCTCCCACGTGTCCTGCAGACCCATTGAGGGGAGACAGCAGGGTGATTTATCTGCTTGTTGAACACCTCCGCAGCAGCAGCAGCAGTAGCAGCAGCAGCAGTCTGACACTCCCCTCCTCCTCCTCCTCTTCCTCCTGGCAGGTGTAATGAGAGCGCTGGTCATGGACAGATGATGGACGTGGAGACGTCGTACTCGGACTTCATCAACTGTGATCGCACCGGCCGCAGGAACGCAGTGCCCGACATCGGTGGCGAGGGAGAGGGAGAGGGAGGGGCCAGCACCAGTGAGCTCACCAAAGACCTGGCAGAGATGGACCTGAAGGCCGCAGGTGAGTGAATCACACCTGAATGCATGCGTCATACAGCGAGAGAGCAGATGATGCATGCTCACATAGAAGTTTCCATCTGCCAACATATCAGAAACTTTTACACGGCCCCTTTTTTTGAGGTGAATGATCAGAGCAAATTATTGTTTTCCAATCACCACCAATCCCTGTGGTGATATGGTATTTACAGAGGCACTGAAGCCTTTTGCAGAAGCATGAAAAACTAAAGATTCAGATCACTAGCATCACTCTGAAGTTGTCACTGACGTTGTGTTGCATTGCCAGTGACGCAAAAGACTCTCTGAAATCTGATTTAAGCAGCCAGAGCGTGCAGACTGAGAATTATCTGGAGGAACCTGATTGGAATCAGATTTTAAACCTGAAGCCTTGATCTATCTGGGTATGCCAAACAAACATATTTGGTCTGATTTGGTTTGAATAAAGGACGCAGCAAAGTCTAAAGTTGAGACTTTTAAGAATGTTTCACCAAGAAGCTCCAATCAGACAAACTGAGGGTCTGATACTGAGTTTGAAAGGTTGATGATGGTTCACATGAAAAGATAAAAGGTACCACTTAAACCACTTTAACCCTCAAAGCTAGTAGAGATTAAATATTTACACCCAAATGTTACAAAATTAAAACTGGACTTGTGTTTAAGAGTTTAAAAATCAGCCAACCTCCCCTCAGGCTAACACACAACTGGTATCCATGTCTCCATGGTAACAATCATGAAAGCTGCTAACCAGTTGCTGCAAAGGACAAAAATAAAAAATGAAACATGGCTCTTAGTTTGTGCCTTGTTAACAATTCTATGTAGGAAGCCTTAAAGTCCATGCAATGAAGAGGCCTCCTGTGGTGAGAAATTAAGCCAATGCAGATGTGCAGAAAATCCTGCGGTTTGCCAAGGGTCCACTTGAGGCTGGCTCCAGGAACCCCGGCAGTCACATACACACCACATTTAAAAATGCACCATAAATAAATCACAACTTTTAGTGCTAAAAGGTTAAGATAACTCAGCTTACAATCAACAGCATAAAGCATGGACAGTGTGTTATGACATCCCTTTCTTCTTAATGTTAATTTAAATTCTTCTGAATGAGAAAAAGATGCTGCTTCATGGAGAATTTAAGAGATGGAGTCTTTTGGATGGACATCATCAGCCGTTTTGTTTCCTCCAGATAAACTCTCCTGATCCTCGCTGATGAGTAAGCAGGAATACTAAACTCTGCCACATAAGGACCAACAGCAGCTCAGCTCCACTGCATGTCTGCAGATTATTTTTCTGAGCTTTTACTCTTCAGGACAGAAAGAGAGAGAGAGAGAGAGAGAGAGAGAGAGAGAGGAAATGTGGGATGACAGGACTGGGAGTCGAAGCAAAGACCAGTGTGTCATGGACTGTGAAAGATCTTTAAAATAAAAGAAAGAAAACTCATCCTGCCCAGCACAGTCGAGGACCAGAGAGAGAGTTTGTCTGGGACGGAGATATTATAAACGTTGATTTGAGTTTCAAGACTAAGATAAGAGAAAGCACCATCCAGATACAAACAGGTGTATGCCAGCTTGTGTTCTCAGTCAGATTTATTGTTGTGTTCAATGAATGAGCACAATAACAGCCCATCCTTTCTCCCCCTGCTGTCGGCAGAGCTTCAGGTAGTCAGGAGGAACATGTCTGATTATGATGCAGATGTTGCACTCTCACCATTGTGTATTACATTGTTGACTTCCTATTTGTGTTTCCCATGACATGATAACCACTACGACTTCTATAAATCAACGTACTAACGCTGCTGCAGTGGTGCATTTTGGAAATAATCTCATCTCATGTCTGACAAGTCGCTGCTACAGGAAGTCGTAGTTCCTTCCTCAGGATCCTCATTATATCGTCTTGAGAGCAGATTTATTGCCCACTTTTTTTAGGGATGTCAAACCTCTTGGAGCTTGATATTAAAAACAATCGTTTTACAAATTATTTTCTGTTTTCCTCACAGAAGGAGACCCGGGGGCCTCCCCAGCTCCGGAAGCCGAGGGCTCCACCAGCCAAGACGCCCAGGGAGGCGGAGGCCCTTCTTAAACTTAAGGCTGCAGAGGGGGGGGTATGGGGGGGTATTGGGGGGGGGAGAGGAGGCAGGTGAAGAGGTGGAGAAAAGTGTGAATATTGTAGGTCCTGACTGGACATGAGGACACCTTCCCTCACTGCCGGTTTGTTTGGAGCTTCAGCGCCCAAATGTCGCCTTTTCATCGGATCAGATTGTAACAAAGGGGAGCTGAACGGAGCAGAAATGAGACGCTTCACACACTCAGTCATTTATATATCCCTGACCAGACAGGAAAGCACAGAAACTTTGGATTTAACGTCTGTGGGGATGGACTGAGCTGAACAGAATCCATTTATAACACTCAAAACATTGTTCCAGCCTAATATGGAGCTGTGTCTTTGTGTAGGGAGGGTGTATTCATAATCAACTGTTTGTCGTTTTATTTTTGTGTGTGTGTGTTTGTGACCTTGTTCAATTTCATCGCTGAGTCTTTTCTTTTTTTTGAAGTAAAAAAAACAAACACCATAGACGCCATTATACTGTCGTGTACGGACTTCATATTTATTGCTAAATGTTCAGTGATAACTTTGTGATAGCAACTTTCTTTGTGTAATAAAATACTTATGAATTACTGTCACCTTTTTGTGTCTTTTTGACGCTTGCGAGCTTTTATCAGTGCAGGCAGGTTTTCAGTGGGTTTGAGGAGGTGAGTCCCAGCCAACCAGGATTAATGAGTCCAGCGCAGAATGCTTCCAGAGCCGTAAATATTATTGAACGCAGCTTTTGTGTACATTGTTGTTACAAGCACAGGAAGCTGCTGTTTATATTTCCACCTAGCGAGGCCCCAGCGCTCACACATTGATCCCTTTTTTATAAAGACTCAGAGGATGACAGGGCAGATTATCTGTGAAGCTGTGATTTCAGCTATTTATGAACATGTCTTTTTTAATAGTATTTACTAGAAAAGGTAATGAAAATAAATGACAAAGAGAATGGTAGACATGTTTTATCATCGCCTCCATTATAGCTGCAAGTTGTTTTTGATGAATGTGCTATATATGGTTGTGCCTTTAACTGAGTCAAATGAAATCTAAATTAAAATCTAAATCAAAATAAATACACAAAAGAACTGAGTGATATGCAAAACTTAATTTGTCCATTTAAATGACAGCAGTATGCCACCTAGTAGTCAAAGGTAAGATTACACTTAAGGTATGAAGCTGTTCTTCCTGATTTATGTTGTCTTGTATTTCCATGTATTTTAAGTCAACCATTTTTTCATGTTAGGTAGTGAGTTCTTATTCCTGCACAGATTTTTGTTCACTCAAAGATTTTAAGACAGCTCAGTGTTTAAACTTTGACAGTAACATCGGACATGTTGCCCAGTTGGGGATTGAACCCTTAACCTTCTAGGTGACAGGTGACGACTCTACCAACTGAGCCACTGACACTCTATTAATTATATATTATATACGTTTCCCTGTGTCTCTTCATGACATCAGGATGTCAACACAAAGTGAAGATAGTATCCAGAGCTTTTCATTAAACAAAATACACTTCTTTTACCATAATCACTTAGGCGGCCATTTTCCTGCAATGTTATACTCACGGACGGTGAAGCTCTAACATTTCTAACGGTTCAAAATTAATCAGATACATTTAGGAATATCTTATTTATTAAATTCCACTGTGTTAAAGTGTATCTGCAACTGAGGAACAATAAAAGTTACAAACTGGAAATAGATTTGAAAATAAAACAGCCTTTTTGATAAACTATTAGCTATAGACAGCGGCTAACATTAGCATCCAGCCAATTGCTAGCAAATATAATAGAGAAGCAATAGCCTGGAAGTGGCTGAATACTCGTAAAATATAATATATCAACTTTATCAATAAAATAGTTAAGCTTCTAGCTAATATAATGCCAGTAAGGACTTAAATGTTTTGGGGAATTTACTTCTTAGCCAGCATTCTGGTATATCAGGATGTTTTTCTTAAAGTCCCTGTAAAGTAAAATCAGCAATACATCTTCAAGCACGCTAAATATGTTGCAAGAAGAAAACGTGAAAAGACTGAGAACTATGTTTGATTGATTTCCATTTTTGACCGTTATTACGATTTTCTCAAGTTTCAGTTCTAAGTTTTAATGGGTGGAGCTAAGTCGGGGCCTAGCTACGTAGATCGGCCCTTCATCTAAACGTTCCTGTTAAGCATATTACTGAATGTAAGTGCAAAGCCATGTTAAATAGCCCACCCAGTGACGTCATTATTAGAGCATGCGTGCCTGCGTGCACCGTTAAGAGGTAACGTGAGCATGCGCAGAATAAATTATATCGGTGTTTTTCTTCTGTTGATATTAGCCACTAGACGGTATTAGCTAACCACTTTGGATGTCTGTAAGGACGCGATAGACTGCTGCAGAAATGTCTAACGTAACAGTTCCATGCTAAGTGATATAAAAACACAGAGCGCTGTAGCATCTTTGGTTCTTCTCCGCTCCAGTTACTAGAAGTTACAAATGGAAGTTCATTTAGCTAGCTAGCTATGCCTTCATACAGAAAGTGTATCTTTCCTGGATGCCAGAATTTGAAGAACAGCTCGGTCTGTTTGTTATTTATTGTCTATTGTTTATTATTTAGATTTTGCTTGATTTATTGTCTAACGAAATGTTTGTAGGAATTAACTGCTTGGCTAATGTTCTGTAAGCTAGGTTTGCTTCTGAGATAATAAAACGATTGTAGGAATTTACTTTTCAGCTAACGTGATGATGACTACAAATTTAAGTAATGCATACAGTTTGGCATAATGGATTTTTTTCTTAGCTAACTTGATGTTTGCTAGATTTAGCTTCTTAGCTAGTACAATTTTGTAGGAATTCACTGCTTTGCTAATATTATTTTCAGGAATATACTTCATAGGTAATGGCCCTTTGGCTAAAAGTGTCTAAATGCTAACATACGCTGTTGTCTGACTGTAGCTTAACCATTTGTTTTTTTGTTTTTTTGAAACACAACCAGTTTTCTGTCGTTAATTTGACAATCAGTAGCCGTTTATTTAGCAGTTTTGTTCGTTAAAGGTTCTACATGTAACTTTTTACATGTATAAATTGTTTTTTTTAATCGCCTATTAATAAGCAAATGGTTAACTGATGTGAAAAAGTACATGTTCACTGTCTATCTGTGTTGCCTGTATAAAATTTTTCCATGGGTCGTATTTTCCGCGAAAGCTCCAGGAAGTGACATTTTATGCACGCCTTCCACACACTTCTATCCGCTCTAGGAGCTCTCAAAGGCGGACAAACTCATCACACACTCCTGCTCTCGGCCAGTGCCTGCAGAGACTGTCGTTTGTAGGATGGAGAATTTATACAGACACACAGACTCCTTCACAGACTTTCACGTGTATGACCACTTTCCTCCTCTGTAAACATTATGTTGGTAAATATCCAGTGTTAGGCCGATGATGATGCTCGTTTGTGTACGTACGGGCACACGAGGGAGAGCGAGGTTACAGGTTGCTGGTGCAGTTCGTCTAACGGCCATGTGGTATCGCTACAAACGCAGTATTTATGAAAGTTACATATAACCCCTTTAAGAAGTGGTAAGCAATGACTGTCAACCCTGAGCACGACATCAGAACAAAATGGCTCTCTTAATAATGTGAAGGAACACTGACTAAATGAGATCGGTGAAGGGAACAGAAATATATGTTATTAATTGGATATGTTGTTCAATAGGCTTTAGGCCCAGTCACATTTCAGCAGAGGAGTCAAGTAACTAAGTACAAATACTTCGTTACCTTACTTAAGTAGAAATTTTGGGTATCTATACTTTACTGGAGTAAATTATTTTTCAGCCGACTTTTTACTTCTACTCCTTACATTTTAAAAATAGCCCCGTTACTCCTATTTCATTTCAGCTTTGTCATCGTTCAAAAAAACACACACAAAAAAAGAAAAACCTTTCCAGTTAAATCGCGCCATCCGGATAGAGTGAATTTGATTGTGATTGGATGAGAAGTATAAACATATACCATTCCGACACCCTATTGGTTTTGTACGCGATCCATCGCACCAGCACATGACACAAATCACGTCACACTCCAGCAAGGAAATAGCAGACGTATGTAGCCTAGTATGAAGATGTCCGTGGCAGAGACAACCATACAAGGGTAATTGTTACTAAGCCGGCCCTGGGTACACCAATTTTCTTGTCCAGTTTTGTTATCTTACATCCGTTGCCCTCACAGATTCCTGCAGCTAAGCTTGGATGAACATTTACATTCCAATAAAGACTATTGATAACATGCCTCTGAAGTTTGACTTTTTGCACCATTACAATACTTATAGGCAACTAGTCATCATATCTTCCGCTCCATGAAACACAGGTTAATGCTCAGTCGTACACATATATGGTTCTTTAATGTATTTGCATTGTACTGGTTCATTTTCAATGGGCATAAATGCGGCTGAAACAGGTGCATCCCAATTTTTTCAACATTAACATTTTAATATAACATTATAGTCATTATGTCCTTTAGAAAAATGTTTTTTTGGGGAGGTGGGGTAGTGCACTATAGGCCTCTGTGGCGCGGCCTAAGCTTTTGAACTTAATGGTATTTTTTTCCCTTACATTACTTTTACTTTTATACTTTAAGTAGTTTTGAAACCAGTACTTTTACACTTTTACTTGAGTAAAAAGCTTGAGTTGATACTTCAACTAATACAGAAGTATTTTTAAACCCTAGTATTTATACTTCTACCTGAGTAATGAATGTCAATACTTTTGACACCTCTGCATTTCAGTAAAAAATTTAAAAATACATTCCATGGGGTCAGGTGTTGAGGTGTTTGTAGCTCAGACTTTTGTCCCTGGGTTAGAGGTCATCATCCTCTTTGTTGTATTTAAAAGGCAGTGCTTTGAATCATCCCATAAGCCTCGTACAGTCTGTGCAGGAGCTTTTCTTTCTCATGTTTGGGCAGGAAGCATGACTCTGCAGAGCAGATGTTCTGTAAGACACAATAAAATCAATGAGATACACATTTCTTTATTTCATTACAACCTTAAGAGTTTACTTTAAACGGGATGCTTATGGATATATCAGCCCAGCCTTAATCCAATGCCACCATGACCAAAGTCAAGCTTCATGTCCATGACATAGCGACAAGCGTGCACATCGACTCTAGTGAGGAGAGGGCAGGGGAGACAGCTCTGTTCAATGTTTTGAATGTGGACTACAGTACCGATTTTAAACACTAGGTGTCAGAGTTTCATATTGCTTACTTTTTCCTTTACTTTGAAAAGAAGATACTACAGCAATTAGTCTCTCTTCCTGCCCCATTAACGGGCGGCTGGCTTTAGCTTCAACTATGAGAAAGAAAACAAACCGGCACCTTTTTCAAAATGTCCAACTATTCCTTTAATGACTGATTACAAATCAACTCCAATGGAAACCTGACTGTCCCTGGCAAGTCCTCACACAATGTCTAAAATAAATGAAGACCTGTATTGAATTAAAAAGGATCTGAGGCCTCTCTTTGTGCAGCACAACATGTATTCATGTGCCCTTTTATTCCTTATTTAATTCGCAGCTGAGAAACACATTGCCATGCGCAGCGTGTCCACAGCCCATGTTATTATTTCAAACCAGATATTCAAAGGCCTTCATACTGTGAGCCGCTGTGATTATTATTCATGCTTTTGATCTCACCAGTCGTTTGAATTCCTCCTCAGTGAATCCCATGTGTTCGTGCGCCGTGCTGTAGTCGAGGTGCAGGGTGGAGTTGAAGATCAGAGGGTCGTCTGTATTGAGGGAGTAGTTAGCTCTGTCCTTCCTAAACCTGCACCGAGGACATTATGACATCCAGACAAAAAAAAAAAAAGACTGCTGTTAGCCACAAATCTGCTTTAAATGACACGACTATGATGTGAAATAAACACTGCTCACGTTATGACAGGATGCTTGGTGAAGTCTGGGTTGCAGGCGCCGGTCAGCTTACTGGAAATAGGACATACCTGCAATCAGGAGAGAACAGGAAGCACTGAGAATTCCTACTGCTGCAGATGGTTCACTTCCAGTTGTGATATTCACAGCTCCACCAGGTGTCAGTGTTTCACCTTTTTACAGTTATAATGTGGGTACTGTAATAATACTAATTCTTAAATTAATTACGTTTTTTTTTAAGTTACAAAGAGATCAACATGCATAAAAGACATTAACTAAACTCAACATCATTTATACTGCAACTTGCAAAGAAAGCTGCAGCCTAAAGAGCTTCACAAAGGAAGAAAAAGGCAAAAAAATAAGACCAAAAGGGCCAACATTAGGGACGCCAGATAGCCTATAGCGGTTATGTTGCGCTCCCCATGTACGGTGGCTATAGTCATCATCGCAGCGGCCATGGGTTCAATTCTGACCACAGCTCATTCCCCAATTCTCTCCTCCCAACTTTTTCTGTCTCTCTTCAGCTGTCCTAGTTAGGTAGTTTATGTCATGCATTCTATGTTCCTTCCACTGATACATATTACATTTTTTTCTAAAATATATTTTTGTGTCTTATTTTGGACTTTAAAAGGTGGGTATTAAGTATGCAATACTAGTTTCCACCACTAGGAGGCTCCCTATTAAAACAAAAGATAAGGCATTTAAAAAGTTTTTTTGTACATGAAGCCTCTGACAAGTGCCCAACAGTGAATATAAACACAGAGACAAACACTCTCTCTTTGTGTGCAATTGTTGGCCAATATAATGTCGCAGCTAATGTAGTTAAAGATGTGTTGTTGGTCTATGGCTTTTGTTTAAGTAGGACAGTGGATAGAGTAAGAAATCTGGGAGAGAGAGAGAAGGGGGAGAGTGGGATGCAGGAAAAGAGCCGCAGGAACCCAAGCTGCCCACAAGGAGGATAATGGCCTTCATACATGCGGTGTGACCTGACCGCTAGAACATCTGCGCCCCAAATGCTAGCTGTAAAGTATGGTTATTTATGTCCGCTATAAAACCATCAGTGCAATGGATAAAAGAGTTCAAACTGAATGAAAACAAAAAAGAATCACATCTCTGCAAAACATTCTTGGTTTTTCTTGAAATGCTTATAATTATATAAAGTTTTTTTTTTTTTTTTACCTCAAAGTGCATTTTCTGATCCAGAAGTTTTCGGTACAGCGCCGGGTCTTCCAGGGTTCTGTAGCCGTGTCCAACCCGTTCAGCTTTCAGAACTTCCACAGCCTGAAATTATAAAACAGAAGTTATGAACCACAAAAACAAATCCTGTATATTTTTCAGCAGAAACTGAGGGTTATTTCTAGAAGCACACTCCCAACAGTTGTGAAATTTCTGCGCTGTCACTTTGAAAGATGTTTCCTTAGAGTTTCCTTGTTATGACAGAAACCCAACAGGGAGACATACTCAAGATTTACACTAAAGCAAAAGAGAAATATTGGCTGAAACCGACACAAAGAGTGACAAATAATCCCAGCATGAGCAGTCACACACATCGACTCTGCCCTCTCAATTACTGACTCTAACCTTCAACCAGAGCAGACGTTCATACAATCTTCTCTCAAGTAGAAGCAAAGATTCATAAAATCTGTTTTTCTCCTTTCTATTGTTAGGAGAGACTTGTGACTTCTTTGTTCCGTGAACTTGCCGTTGGCGGTTTTCACTGAGCTGCAAAGTGAAGATAATGAAGTTCTCATATGACTCCACCACCCAGTATAGAAATGTCTCGGGTCATTGTCGAGGAGCAACCTTACCTCCTTAACCACAGACGGCGGGCCCACCTCTCCTGCGTGCACCGTCCTGTGGACGCCAGAGCGCACCGCTTCCTGTCAACACAATCGATCAGAGAACACATCAGTAATTAAACATCTGGATTTCACATCTGCAGATAGTGCAGCATGTAATGTATGTTTTTGTACACGCCTGCTTGACTCAGAGGGAAAACATCAATTTCCCCCCATGATATATCGTTTAAAGAGTTACTCAATGTAGTTTGTCAGAGGCAGAAATACAGAATTATAGACAAGACATCCCACTAGTTATATGATTTATTTTTGTTTTGGCATTCTTAACCTTGGACAGACCGAGTGGGGCTTTCTTAATCTGCACATGTGTATCTTGCAGTCATGTCCTTGTGAAGATAACCTTTCAATATTCCTGTGGACTCTGCTCTGAGACTCTGAGTTCTGGTTCTTGTTAATTATTGAATTACTTCCTGCACAAACAGCTAGACAGGATTTCTTGTTAAAGTGTAGTTCTATAATAATAGTAATGAAATGTATTTATAAGGAAGTAAGGTAACCTGGCTACAGTATGGTGCTTCAGGAGTAGAAATTAAATAATAAGAATAGAATAAGAGTGGCACCGGTGGACTAGCGGTTTGATAATGCCCCATGGATTTGGAGTCTGTTGTCCCACCTGTGGCTCCTTTCCTGCAGGTCATTCCCCACTCTCTCTTTAGCTCTGATTTCCAACTCTATCTCTACAATAAAAGGTACAAAAAGCCCAAAAATAAACCTAAAAAATAAAGATGAATTTAAATGGAATATAAACAATAATAAGATAAGATTATTGTTGCACCCTATACACCCATTGACCATTTCACATTAACAGGTAACAACAAAATAATCCAAAGACAATGAAGTTTTGAACATTGATTGAATATGTTTCAGAAAGGTTTTAAAGAGTTCAATGATCACTCATGAGTTTATATAGTGTAGTATAATTATGGAGAAATAAATGAATCACAGCATCACTTATCTGTGATTGCTTCGGGTGGATAAGAGGAGAGTTACCGTTTGGATTTATGGTCACCTAATGAATAATTGACTAATAACTGTGTAGGAGTTTGCTATTAGGGATGTTCAACTAACGGCTTCGTTCTTCTTGTTGCTAGAAAACGATGACTGAAAAAAAAATGAAAAATCCGGGCTGAAATGTTATTAAGTGTCCCCATGAAGTGGACCACACCCGTCCCTAATCCGAGCAGGCCATTCATTTCAGATAAGACTGAACACCCGCTCTGTCGTGTATTAACTGATTAATCTGTGACATTCATTACGCTCTGACAGACAACATTCATTACTTAGTGAGTTTTTCTCTCAGATAATCAATAAATGCTGCCTGAAAACCCAATTTGGATTTTTTTTCTGAGAGGCTCAGAGCTCGACAGAAAATTGATTTGTGAGTTACAGAGTAAGACGTTAACAGCTTGAGACTATTCTCTGACGAGGGAGGAAAGTCCATCCAGAAACTCTCATTTATAACATCAGAGCCACAAAGCCTGACCGGCAGGTTAACAAGATGACAGGCCTGTTATGGACCCACCTCCAACACCCTCCCCTTGAGGAGTTTATTGCAAGCGGTGGACAAAATTGTCCTCAGCTCGAGCTGCATTGCCTGTGTCCTGCATTGTTGTGTTAGCATGCTAATGTTAGCGCTCTTTAGTTAGCTCATGGCTTCACATTGCATGTAAATTAACACTGAATGACTGAAAAACGCTTACATGACGTCCACATAAGCAGTGAGTATGTTCTTCTTCTTCTCTCTAGTCCTTGACTAAAACAGCTTTTATACACAAGGGGAGGAGCCAGCCATCCCATCAATGTTAACACACCTCCAATGTGTAAAATTTCACACATTATTTCTTTAAAAATGTTTTTTATCTGGATTTAACAGATTAATGTTTCTTCAGTTTTCTTGTAATTAGATATTTTTGACAAGAAATTAGACAAAATTTGCAGAGCAGGGTCTCATCAAAGTCAGTAGGATTCATCTTCTGGTAGTCCATCCTGTAGTTGTCAGAATATTTCAGTCTGGATCATTACTCTCCCTAAGACTGGCTAAGCTGCTGGCTTGACAAACTGAAAAACCCTCTCATCTCCGTAAAGTCCACATTCTTTATAAGATTCCTGAAACCTGCTGATGCGATAAACAGAGTCATATTTCTGTCCTCCTGCAGCCTGTGGGACCCTGAGGTGGACTGTGATGTGTTCTGCACATGCTCCATAATCCCTGCACCTTGTTCTTCCCTAGAAGTCAAACAGCATTAATACTTAGCAAAGCAGGGGTCGTGTTGTCACCTGCCTTTCAGATCTCACTATAACTTAGACTTAAAAGGATAGCGTGCATCACATTGGACCCAAAAGTAAAGCATAGAGTACGTACAAAATGTACAGAGCTGTAAATATGTCCGTGTTTTCACCGTTCAACATACAACCACCACTTTGCCGTTTGCTAACTTGTTAGCAAGGTCAACCGGAAAAAGGTCCACCGGAAAAAGGTCCAATAGTAAGTAGCTGAAAGGATGCATGTCACCACCTTCCATAGAGCAGTCGGATGCATACATGTACCTCTGTCAATAAACTGATTCTCCCTTGGTGCATGTATACGGGGACAACCACAATATTCCAATTATGTGGCCTGGTCGAGCTTTAAACGTAGCTCGACTTACCTGTTCATATCAAGGAACTGACAGTTTTTTGTTTCATTTTTTAAGTTATATTTTTGGGCTTGTATGTCTTTATTTGAGAGGACAGTGGAGGAATGACATGCAGGAGCCAATAAGGTCAGACTTGAACCTGATTGGAGAACTATAGGCTCCGTACATGTAGCGTTACCAAACCCCTCCCATTGCTGTATTACATTTTGAAGATTGCAGATCATGTTTTTGTTCAATGTTTTGAGGGGGCTATGTGACATCTACTTGTAGATTCTGTTTATGAGTAATGCAAAAACATGCCTGTCCTGTCCTGTCCTGAATCCACATGATTGATGCTATGTGTTGGTATGTAATGATCTGACTTAGGTAAAGTTCACCTCGTAGGCATGCTTGTGTCCTGAGTTGGTTTCACAGTTGAGCGATTCGTCACCTGCCAGGTCGATGGCGACCACTCCTTCATGGCGATATTTCTTACACAGCTCCACCACCTCCATGGACCAGTCTGGAGAATTAAAAAGAAAAACATGTTAGCAATCTCAAACACCGTCGTGAGGATGATGTGTAGATGAAATGTGATGATAGGCTCAGGCTCAGCATTTTTCTACAGCTACAACAGCGTTAACTAAATCTGGGTAGTAACTGATTTCCTCCCGGTGTTTTTAAGTTATTCGCTCCTTCCCTTCTTAAGTCTATTATTTTATGAACATAATCTGCGTTCATAAAATAGGGACATTAATGTGATGCCATTTCATTTATTTTCTGATGATGCTTTAAGTTACTGTCGCTTTAAGAAGAGCACACTGTTGTTGAGCGGAGGCTTGACTAGCTGTGGAGTCACATGGTTTTCATACCGTGTCCGTGTCTGAACTTGTACTATTTCGTTTTCAGTGTCATCATGTTGGGATCTCCATGTGTTGAAACAAAGGTCCGGCCTGAAGCCACAGAAGCCTGAGTACGAGTACTTATATGACTCCTACTCCCAGCATGCCCTGCAGAAACAATCCCAGCATGCTCTGCAACATCTAACACGTTAAGTGTAGGGTCGATAAAAGCAGCCGCCTCTCATTGTTCGATCTCTTCACCTGTGGTCTCCCTACACCAGAGGATACCTCTCTCCACAAGCTTCCAGCTTCAGGGGAGACACGCATTTCAACCTGGCTGACTTCCAAGGCCTGTTTAAGGAGTTTTTGGCACAATCAGTAACTATCTGGTTCGAGCACGGAGAGATTCTTTCCTATTATTCTCGTCAACGTCGGTGAACGCAACAGGACAGGAGTGCTACAGACAGCCACTGTGACCTGAAGAAGAATACACCAAGGAAAATCTGCTCCTGCCACCAGAAAGAAAACAGAGCATTGCTTTTGTCTCAAATCTGACTCCTGCTGCAGTCTCTTCATCTGCCACGGAAACCTGCCTGAATCTGTTGATTCAACAGATTGATGACCAACTGAACCCTGAAACAGTCATCAGAAAAGTGATTCCAAGTAAGGCTTTAGTCTGGGCACAGAATAGTTTAGGAAGGTTTATTCTATACCAATTGATAATTGTGCATTATTGTTGACTGAACTTCACCTTCTGTTTATTATCTCCTGTAAGCTGCTGCATTTGTTTTTGTTACTGAACCGCCGTGTTCGCCTCTGTGTTTTCATTCAATGCTATGCTAGTTTACTTTCAGTTAAATGCTTTCACAATCAGAAAGACCAGTGTACCTGCAGTTCAATCAAAGTCTGGCCACTGACTTTCTGGTGTTTAAGTTATAGTTACTGAACTATTGTGATATAAGCTGGGTGCGAGGGCTTTGTGTACGGATTTCATGCCTTCAATTTATTAAATACAGTTATTAATTATTAATAATGTTAGTAATTAAGTAACTAATTTGAGACTGATTTTTGTGATATTTTGGTTATACAGTATTTCCCTGATTTCAGGGTGGTGCCCCCCGAGTTGATTAAACATAGTTTAATGATATTGTTATTTATATTATTAATAATTAAAAATAATTATTAAAGAACATAACCAAAGTTGACTTGATAAAACCCCAACAATCCTGTGAATTACTTTCTTGTGATACTTTTTGAATAAAAGTAGTTTGTGTTTATAACCTCACAGCAGCCTTGGAGTGGATGATGTCTTCAGATACATCAGGGGGACACGTGTATGCCAGCACTACCAGCGGGCTTACAAATTTGTCAGTAACAATGTTAAAATCTGAGATGCTGCGTCTGTTCAGCAAGTTTCTTACATAAAGTAAAAGAAAGTCTGTAACCACTGGGGGGATGTTACAGCATACTTTTGCAGAGCTGTAGTGTAACGTTCAGAATATCAGATATGAATTGCACTTGGCTGTTGGGTCACAGGAAACAGCTGCATGAATGGAGCAGACTTTTCTCTTCAGATACCACTCACAGTTATTTTAACTGATGCAGCTCATAAACTTGTAAGGCTTTTGATTGTACTTAAAGAAATCTTGAAGATTCATGATCACCGGGGTAGTGAAAATATGTGGACATGGTTGTTGTATTTCTGTTGTTCTGCTGCTCGTTATCTATTGAAAGAGAGATCTGAGAGAGAGGACAGGACAGTAAGGAACCTTATCTCACAAGGTTGTTTGGGCAGACAGGGGTATGAACAGTTCATTACTTGGCATGTGGCGCATGCAGCATAGAATGGACCTGGCTTTGATATCGAAGGCCCTCTCGCCCTTGCTGAGGCCCTCGCTGACCAGGCGCACCACATCGTCTGGACTCACGTCACCTCTGAGATAGAAAAGAAAACCACACTTAATACATAAACGTCACACTTTTCACCAAAGGATGCAACTCTTTAAGACAGACTTACTCTTTCTGGTCCCATGGTAGTGGATCTACTTTACAGTTAGCCAGGAAGTGCGGGCTGTATCGCACCTCCACGTAAATCACTCCCTCCTTAGCTTTGTCCTCGACAAACTCATAGGCTATCCTCTTAATGGCCTCCCTGTCTCCTCTGAAAAAAAACAACAACAAAGAAAAACACAAAATGAGTGACATCCCCCTTTGGTTTAGATAATCTCTTATCTCAGTGATGAACAGAAAAACATCAGCAACTGCCTAACCTTTATCCACCGTCTTAAATACAGATGCTTTTAAATAAGCATGTAAAGGTTTAAACAGTGTTCCTGATGTGATAATTAATTCAATTTAACATCTCCTACTACACATCTTATTAGTGATGGTTTCCTTAATTGTACAACATAACTGCATAACTGCAAAATAAATAAATAATTTCTTACTGCTGAGTCAAATTTTGCTAAGAGGGGATTTCTTAAAAAAAAGCAGCATTATTTTTTCTGATTTTTATGTATATATATATTATTGTACAGGACAGCTGAAGAGAGAGAGCAAATGTTGGGAGTAGATAGTGGGGGATCACATTCGCGTGATACGCATAACAACACCTCTTCCAGCATTTCCACAGACCACAAATGCATCATCAACTACAGCTGAACAACAGTTCTGCATGAGCTAAAGTCAGCCAGCAGCTTCCCCTATGTTCTTGACTCTATACTGCACAAAGGCATTTACAGAGCCTCGATACAGAGGACTCCATTCAGCTTAACAGTCCAACCGCGACAGAGCGTCATTGTTGAACATTTTCACGGCAATGTATCTTTTAGTATCTGAAAGGCTGGATTCTGTCTGACATCAGCCTTGTCACTGAAGACTAAATATAAAACGGATGACACTGGAGAAAATCTTTTTGGAGGTTTGCTCTCTTCTAAGTTTGGCTGCTAAACTAAACACATTCTTACAAATGTTGTTTTCCAGTTTTGGCGGTAAAATCGACTCTTGCACAATCCTGCTGTGTTCACATTTGTGTATCACAAATCACTTCCCACTTTGGTTTTTAAAGACTCTGACTGCATCCCAGCTGTACAACTTCTAAACATTACTGCTTGATTGACTAAATGCTTTGGCTGCATTCCTGTGATAAATGGTAAATGGACTTGCGCTTTTATAGTGCCTTTCTAATCTTCTACTACTACTACTCAAAGTACTTTTACACCACATGTCACACCCACCCATTCACACCCTTTCACACACTGATGGTAACTAATCCCATTCATACACCGCCACGAAGCAATGGAGGTATCCAATGGAAACAAAAGGTTTTTAGTGGTTTTAGAGCACATAAACTGTCAAGAAACTTTGCAAAGCTGACCCTGATGAAGCCCACAAGCCGAAACTTTTCGATCTAAAAAAGTTAATAAAGTTGATCTTCACATTTGAAGTGGTGCTTGAGCATTATGACCTCATGAAACTTGGCAAAAACATAAAAAATAGATAAATAGAACTGTGATGTGAGTTTTTGGTGCAAGCATGGAATATTGGCTCAATAGTACCGCCTTCAAAAATAGAAATAACACCTGCACACCTGCACACCTAAAAATGTGAAGCAAAGTTCAGGACAGCCTGTCCATTAAATCTTTGATTGTAAAAGATTAGAATGAAAGTGTTTGCCTTTGCACAAAAGCCATTTAAGCTTGTCGTAACATTTCTGTTTATTGTAGCCACTTACAGGTGACACACTTTAAAAAAACTCCTACCAGGTGCACATCCAATTCACATAAAACCTTCACAGCATTCCTGTGAGACATGATCTTTACTAAAATCTTGACCTGTGCCCTGTGTCATTATGAAACTTAATAATCTACACTGTCATATCAGCACTTACGCAATCACATGCATGTACTCGGCGAACTTCCCCAAGAAGCTTGTGAGGGTGCCTGGTTCCTCCACAATGATGCGCTTTGTCATCTCCTCCACGGTGTCTGCTGGAAGACGGATGCCACGCCTCCTAAAAGGAGAAAGAAAGAAAAGTGATACGGCGTTCAGGGACAACGTTTGAGTCAATGATAACATTGTTTCATTTTCAACCCAAATCAATAAATCCAGTTTCCCTGATATGCTCTGCTTTTGTGAAGTGGAACATCAGTCTGTTGTTTATAGGCCGAGCTAGTGACTCAATGAAAAAAGGGATTATTGCCAAAAAAAGAAACTTTGGAGGAGGACATACTGGCTGCTGCGTTGTTGTCAGAGAAGCCAGCACTTCAACATAGCAAATCAAACTGAAAGTGAAGTAACTTACTTTGCAACATCAAGAATAGTCAGAACTCTGATGGCTCCATCGAGATGCACATGCAGCTCAACCTGAGGATGACACGATAAACAATAAGTCAGACATTCAAACTTATTATTTTTCATTAATGTGGATTTTCCCGTATACAAATGTCAGATATCCAGTAGTTTAATAAAAGACAACAGCAGTCATGTGGGTGTAGAAGTTCAACGTTTTGGCGGCAGCTCTTCATGAATGCTTAGCATATGACTTCACAGTGAATGGTGAAAAGGACACGAGTGCCAGCGGAGGGTCAAGGAGGATGTTCTCCATCCAAGAGCTGTGAGTTATTCTGACAGATGACACAGATACATCTACACTCCTCATTCAACTGCTGAGACGACTACAAGCTGCAGCTGTCAGGGTTACATTTTTAAATTATCCACAGTTCATTAACCATTAACCATGAGGATGGTCAAGGGAAAAATGAGCCCTAAATGAAACTAAGAGAGTGATGGGATCCTACTAGACACAGTGTTTTCTGCCAATATCTTAAACAAGAAGCCAAAGCATTTAGTCAATTAATCAATCAAACATTTTAGAATAAACGGGACATTTTTTCCTCTTTGTTTTTTTGCAATGGTTTGAGTCCATTTGCAAGTAAAATCCATCTGCCTTTTTATTTTCTTTCTGACATTTAAAAGACGAGCAATATACCAAGGACTTGTTAAGCGAATTAGTCAATAATGAAAATAATAGCTAGTGTTGTAATACTTGAGATCCGTCTTGGTCTTAAGACCGGCCTCGAAACCACTTTTATAAGGTCTTGTCTCGGTCTCAGACTAGGCGGACCAGTCAAGACCACCGCTGACAGGCTATCTTTCCACATTGTCACTGTGATTAGAAGGAAAACTCTGTTTTCTACAAGAACTAATAACTTAAATTCATTCATAATTTGATTTTCATCCCCCGGTCATGGGAGCAACCTTCCCAATGTTACAGTGAGTGACATGCCTGCTGCACACATGATGATGATGAATTCAACAGGCAACATACAGTATTTCTCTCTGATTTGATGCAGCAATGGTTCAGTTGAAAAAACATGATGGCCAATCCAATTTCATAGAAAATTCTGAATGGAAGTCTCATGACAGTCTGTGGATTTCTTGGAAATCCTCAATCAAAGTTGATACAACTCCACTGGCACAGAGTCCTAATGAAGCAGCTCATTTGCAGTAAACCTTCTAATAAAAGTCATAGTGAAGTTTTTTTAAATCCTTGATTTCATGTTTTAAAGAGAGATACATGTTATAAGAAAGTTCAGAGAGTTTAAACATAACAGCATAATCAAACATCCATCAGAAAAATGTCCTTCAACTCCCTTTTGGATGCAAAAAGATTAAGAAACAGAGCCAATAGGTTGACTCATGATACCAGATGAGCGTTTGCAGCTGTTGCTCTGGAAAATTTCAACAAAAACAGAACAGGATCTTAGCTACCTTCTGCCAATAAATGAACATTTCTCATGAATTACTACTCATCAATCCTAAAAATAACTGCACATAAGTCCACAACTTTTTTATAATCCAAATGACTCAGCTTTCAAGCATGAACACCAATTTACATTAGAAATTTGAATTATTTTGTATTCTTTATTCACCAAATATATTGTGTAAATATCAAAAAGATAAACTTTAGTAACCTGTAAAAAGATTATTAATTGTAACACAATTATAACTACCTGCTGATGAATAAAAGCCTCAATTGTTTGTCGACATGCAGACGATATTGCGATGTTTCTACCTAAATGAACAAGATAAGGTAATGTGTACATCTAAATCTGTGTGAGTGCCCCATATGTTTACATCTGTGTTTGTTTCCACAGTATCACTGGACTGTTCATGGACAGCAAACAGATGGTTAACCAATCATCCAGCTCAGGAATTCCTCTGCTGATAGTTTCTGCATGCACAAAACTTCCTCTATTAAAATGTGGGGCTTAGTTCTCTCAGTAATAAGTCCTTACACTGGTTAGAATCTGCTTCAAAGCTATTCAAAATGATTTCAATTTCAAGCAGCAATGCCAAACATTCACTGGTTTCTTTAATCTCAAGGATTAGCTGATTTTCTTTGTTTATATATCATCATAAACTGAATATTTTTCGGATTTTGGACTGTTGATTGGACAAAAAAACAAAAACATTTAAAGGGTGAAATGTGGGATTTTCTAAGTCTTATAAGAGAGCTATTTCTGGTCAGAAATGGTGCTGCAAGAATGAATAATTATTCAATCACCATCTACACATAATTAATCCACAGATAAAAGATAAATCACTTCAGTTAGTTTCAATATAAAATGCTAAAAACGTGCTCGCAATATGAGAACTTATCACACATGATATTAAGCTGAACAAAATTAGTTTTGGAAGATTGCACTGTGGAATAAAAACAGAAATATTTCACTCTTGTCATACATTTGAAACCAAAAAAAATAATCGGGTAATTTTGAAAATAATTTGAAAATGAACAAATGTTGAAGATGTTTTCTCGCTGATCCACTATGATTAAAGTCAGCTCATGAAGTATGTATGAACCAGTGCGGGTTGCAGCGACTGCCAGTGACCCCACTCCAGCCTGCATAGTATCAATTCTGCAAATTAATATTTAATGACATTATCAGGGAGCAGCCGGCACTCCTCCAGAGCTCTCCTTTTACAACTCAGAGTCTCTGACAAACACATTACAAATTCACACGCACACATTCTAACCTTATGAGGCAACACAGTCATTTTCTGTCCTCTTATCAGCCCTCAGCTCAGACTCCAAAGGGCACCGGGCAGACAGGTATAGAGAGGCAGTATACATTCATGCTCATGACAGTTAAAAGTGCATTTCACTTTAAAAGGCTTTGTTATGCAATCCATGCACCAATACTATCCATAAAGATATGATGCAGAAAAGTGCAGAAATCATGTCTTCTATTAATAATAATAATAATGTATGCTTTATTGATCCCGCGAGGGGAAATTTGTTTTTACACTCTGTCTAGTTAACATGCTACACAAACATAGGCTGAAATACACACACGATCCATGACATGCACTGATGGAGAGGTTTCAGAGTGAGGGGGCTGCCCACAGTGGGTGCTCATGAGCTGGTGGGGGTGCCTTGCTCAAGGGCACCTCGGCAGTGCTCAGGAAGTGGACTGGCACTTCTCCAGCTACCAGACCAATTTCCAAACTTGGTCCGTGCTGGGACTTGAACCAGTGACTTTCGGATTCCCAACCCAAGTCCCTACAGACTGAGCTATTGGAGAGAGAGAAGCTAAGCTGCATCCTGCAGTCGGAGGATGATTTTCTCACCAAAACAAGCATGCATAAAAGTACAAATACAACAATAGGCAGAATAAAGTCGAGAAACAAGCCTGATATCTTTGTTCAATGACATTATTGTACATATATTTTATAAGAAACACAAGAAAGAGGTGTATACAATTAAATCTCTTACATCAAATCGGTGCAGCAGCAGCGCACTCTCACAGGAGATGTTCTTCCTTTCATTAAATACGGAATTCAAACACGCTACAGTACCGAACATGTACAGTTTATGTTTCTATGCAAAACTTCAATTAGGCTATTCTCTTTTAGACTATATGTCCTAACCGGGTTTTTTTCTTCTTCTATAGACTAGGTAAGAGGTAAATTAAACACGGCTGGTCACACCACAGTCACTTTCTGATCGCAGAGGCGGCTATGTAGTGGCGATCCGTTTAAAATATATCTATCTATTCATCTGATTCACACAGCTGACGAGTTTCAGTTGCACCTCGACATGTGACTGCAAAACTCGGGATCGAATTCCCGATCTTCCCGATTAAGAGACCACCGACTTTACCAACTGATCCACACGCTCTTGTCCCGGAACTCCCAACGATATGACGACCGTATTTACGCACACCACATCGGCGTGCGTAAAAACCGGGAGTGATTACGTCGTAAATAATTTACATTTTATTTAAAATAATTAAATAATAATAATAACACTGCGGCGCTGTTGACGTAGGCCTACCTTAGGTTTGTTGAAGACCACTTGATCAGAAGAGTGCTCGGCCATGTTGCACAACCTGCTTCTACACAGAGCGCTCAGCACTGGAGAGCCGAAACCTTTCACAGCTCGTATGGCTGGAAAGCGCATGACACCCCTTTGTTCTGATAGGCAGAACACATCACAGAGAGATTCAAACAGTGATCAACAGAGCAAAGCAAGGAAGGGTCTTCAGTGTGTAGATGATACAGTGTGCAGGAACACAAGGAGATTTAAGCAGGTGGATTAACTGCAGCTTTGTAGCCATGTGAGAGCTTTACTGTGGAGCTAATTAATTATGTTAAACCTCGTTACCGAACAAATTGAAGGATCGATGTTCAGAAGCGATCTCTGCACACGTTGGCTTAAGGAAGCTAATTATTCTATAACGTGTTTGAGTGTGCTGAATTGGTTGTAACAAGAAGATACAGATGAAAGGTTGCAACATTGCTGTCACTTCTTGAATATATTGTTGAGTTGAGGGTCCAGGAGGCCTCAGTCAAAAGCACAAACAACAGATACAACAATGTTGTTCTAATATGACAAACAACATTTTTTAAGTGCACCACATATATAATTAATAAGACTTTTAGCTCAGGGTAGCCAGGAGGGGCTCTGACTCATGAAATGTTAGTTTAATATCTGTTTCCAGTTAAATTATCACGCTCATGTTAAGTGTTTCTGCTTTGGATGCTGCCTGAGGATTTAACCCTTCAGTGTCTTCTCCTGAAACTAACACAATCATCACTAACTCATGTCCAGCTGACTTGTATGTCTGCTCCCACTTCTTCTTCTTCTTCTTCTTCTGAGATGTATGTACTTACATGTGCTCATAGAAGAATACAAAACAGATCCCTTGTATGTGTTTTTAGAGTCTGTAGCTGATCTTAAAATATGTTTACGTCCTTTAAGGGGGTTTATAAAAGATGCTTAAAAGTGCCTTTAAATCTGTCCTATATGGTTATTTATTTTTGCCCAAAGGCTCAGTCACAGAAAGCATATATTTAATCTGTCATTAACTCCAACAAAAAGCTTGACACGTTGGTATCTGCTTCCTGCTCTGAGGTTTTGCAGTTTCCTGCTGCCAACCAAATGGAACAGAGGGGAAGTTTGAGCTGAAAGTTTCTAACATCTTTTTTTTTTTTTTTTTTTTTTTTTAGGGTCTGGTGACTCAGAATGATCTACAGCTCTTGTCATCACTTTATTCCTTTCTCAGTTTGAGTGAAAAACATCTTCAAGTTAAAACCTTTAGAGGTTTTGTTTCTGTGTGACAGCACCGCCTTGTGGCTGAAGCTCATAGGACAGATGTTTCAAAGTGATCTAATCACACTGGACTGGGTCAAAGTTTGAAAGAAAATGATGCTGAAAGCAGACTCAACCTTTATTTAATTGATCCTGATAAAAATGTCTGTGTTCTCAAAACTTTAAAAGCCCAGAAGAATCCCCCCAGAAGAATCATCATGTACACATGTGCGCCTTGACTCCTGAAGTTCTCAGGGTGAGCTGCATGTGTGATCGCAAATAGACACATTTTTCTCTCTGACTTTAGCCCGAGTTTCTCCTGACAGCCTTCTAGTATTTTTATTGCATGAAGTCCAAGTGAGCCGATGTGAGAACGTAGCAGGATATAATCAGGATAGTTCACTTTGAGCGAGTGAGCGGTGACATTTATTCCCCCCGATCGATGAAAGACCAGACTGTATGCACCCAAACGCTACGATCTCCCTGAAAGTAACTAAACTGCTGTATTATGTTTTCTGTTTTCTTAAGTATGGCGTATAATATACTGTTGCTTTGTCTGCCACTTCCATATCGTTCTTTTTACACAATGTCTTGCCTCAGGAGACCCCGACCAAATACACCACAAGGGAAATGCCTGAAGCTTGAATTTCAGGCATGCATTTGTGAAAATGGCACAAAAAAGATCGGCAGAGAGAAAACATAAACTGTATTGTCCAGAGTCGCATCAGACAGACAAACAGGAAGATGAACAGACCCTTTGTTGATCGCTATGAAAATGAAAAGCATCCAGTAGCATCTTACAAAACACACACATGACATGAAACATTTGTTACATGTACTGCTCCCGCTGCTGAGACACGCCTCTCACTCTTTTTAGACAGTCATGACTCAGAGAGATGCTTACACACTGTATTTATGTGAGAAATGTCCCAAAAGTCGTCCTTTAATATCAAAGATACAAATCTTTCATGTGAAGCAGTTTTGAGAAACTTTTAGTGTGTGTGGATTTTGGCGCCCCCTTGTGGACAAAGTATGTAGCATGAAGTTCCATTTAGAGCTCTGGTAATCTGAGTTTTTGTGAGTGGTCTGAATCTGGATAAAGTTGTGTACAAATATGTGTAAGTACAATGATCGGAAACGTTAATGTATTGCAATAAAAGTATATATATATAGAAATACCAAGACCAATTTCAAGTACTACAACACTAGTACATGCTCATGTGGGTTCATTTTATATCCTGAAATGAGCAATTCATCAAATAAAAAAACCCTTAACTTTACATTTTCACTTCTCCAAGGCCTTGTATTTCCCTTTGTCTTTCCACAGATCTGCAATTCTCCACCTTTCCACTAGATATCCCCAGATGCTCCCTCTTTCATATCTGCATATTTGGTCTCACTTCTGATCAGTTCCTGCAGTTACCCTGCCAAATCCTTACCTTCAGATTCCCCCATTACCATCCGCACTGTGAACCAGTCCACTTTATCATGTTCTTTAAATGTCTTGGTTATTTTACACCTCACAATTAGTTTTTTCTCTTACCTTAGCCGTGCATCTGGAATCAGTCTCAGTCTGACCCTGCTCCTTTAGGATCTGTTTGCCTATGCTGAATGGTCCTCTGGTGTCGACCCCAGCCTGACTAAACTGCAAGTTAGGTCCGTAGGTCGACTTGTTTGTCTTCACAGGCATAATATGCAACATCCTGAATAGATGTGGCAAAAATCAAATGTTCCCAATTTAAATATACTGGAGAGCTAAGTCCTCTGGATTTGTTGGTCTTTTCTCTGTCTTAACATGAATGGGATGGCGCTTATTCCAGTTGGTTGTTTTTGTTCAAACATGTTTAGTAGATGTAATAGATGCCCTGCCAACTCTGGGTGTTGGCAGGGCAGGTATTTTAACTTCGTGTTTCACATTAACACAACTAAAAGTGAACCCATAGACTTTCCTAACAGAAGAAAAGTTTTAAAATGGCTTAAAAAGACAAACATATAACAAATGAATGAACTTTGAGATGCATATCTTTACCTGAAACTGAACACACAATCTTATTTTGAGATGTTTATTAGCAGAACTGTTAAAGAGATACTTCACCTGTTGAAACATGAATCTGTACTGACATTGGGTCATATATGTAGAAATGTGAAATACATTTTGAAGTTGGTGCCTTCTTGACTGAGAAAAGGCAGAAAGTGTCTTTTTGGCTCATGTGGATGAAAGACACCAAATCCCAGAATGCACAGCACCGCAGGCCACTCCCACTAAGGTCCTCTGGTTCAGAATCAGAAATACTTTATTAATCCCAGAAAGAAATTTGATCGTTACAGTTTCTCCAAAATATACAATATAGCAGTAGAAATATAGAAATAAAAACATTTACAGACATATTTACTTCAACACATGAGACCATTTCCACAACTGATTCAGAGATTTCTTCCAGAATTGATCTTGGAAGTTCCTGGCAGAAAACAGACTCTATGTCTGTGTCCATAGGCAAACAGTGAGAGCACCGACACTACCAGTCCGCCCCAGCTCAAGCCGGCCCCGGCTCCTCGTCCTCACCAAGCAATAAGCAATATAGCTGCGAGATGGCTACTGCCAACAGGCCGGCAACCGGTGGCCAGCGGCGGCCCCGGCGGTCAGCGGCCACAGCAGCCAAAACACAAAACCGGCCTGTCGGCAGCAGCCATCACGCCACTATATTTATATTTTTTCTCCATTATCAGCTTTTTCCATAGAGCCTGTTAGCATAGCGTCCAAGCAATATGGCAGACATTAAGGTTCCCACCCACTGATCTGTGATTGGTCTGTAGCTTCAGTGGTCGAAAATAGTAGTTGTAGTTTCACCCTGCTAACCACAACAGCGTCCAGTGACGCAAAAATCGTCATTTTGCGTCACTGGAAGCTCCTTTTCAGACTCAGAAATACAAAGATTTCCCATCTCAGGGGGGAATGAGGGCGGGATGCACGACCATTCAAAAATACTACCAGGTTTCTAATGATACAAAGCTTCATGCAAATGGGTGAAGTATCCCTTTAATCGTTAATGAGCTTCATGAATCGATTTTTTATACTTAGACGTTCATTTGAGTAATCATTATAAGAACATATAACTTCCGGTAAATTTGGTTTCCATTAACAACATTTTGGTTACTTGAATTCAGTTTAACCAGCTCAAGTCAGCTGACCTCATTTGCTCCTGACTCGAAGAGACAAGACAGCCATCTCTGTTGTTATCTCGTTTTTATTGATTGATCTGTTATCATGTGCAATGCCGGATTTGTAAAGACTTTGAAACTTCTTGCCACTAGGCGGCGCCAGTGCACCGCGCCACTGACATGCCTGTTTCTTCTCAGGCTCTCATTGGCTACAGTACTCTAGAGTAACGACGAATGGAAGGTCCTAATTGATAAAATAAGGTGTCAATTAAAAGGTCAGAGGGCATGATGAATATAACACACAGATACATTTTTAGACAGATGACACTTTATTGATGCAGAGGGAAATTAAGGCATCCAGTAGATAACAAGACACACAACATAAAACAGATATTACATCCATCAACAACTGCTGTGATATATATTAGAGATAGATAAATAAAATAAAAGGATATATCCTATAAAAAGCACACTTATACAAGCTCTAAAATATAAAGAGTTAACATATAATAGGCCAATATATAATTTGATATTTAGAGTCTAATAAGTAAGAATGGAATAAAAACGCTATTTATCATGCAACCGTCATTTTTCTCAATAAATTAGATTTTTAACCTTCTTATTCTTATTCTTATTTAACCTGTATGACAAGATGTAGTTTAACTGATGTTGTTCAGTTAGAGTTTTTTCATGACCATTCAGCCATCTGTCCTCTCATGCAGGAC